ATATAAAGAAAACTATAATTCATCAAAAATCATTTAACACGAAATTCTACAAAATATATAATTACTACAAATTTAAATTCAACAGGTTAAACTAAACTTTAAGGTTCAAAGTATTTAGAGTGATCTGTTATATCTGAAATTAAATTTAAGAGATGTGGATACTCTTTCTTTATGCCCGAATCATTCAATACTTTTTTGACTCTGAAATAATTAACAAGTATAACAAAGATATTTAAAATTACTTTCTCATACTATTTACCCTAACTGAATTGAATGTTTAGATAACAATCTTTTTTTATTAAGATTATCTAAAAGTTTTCCAGCATAATTTCTTATGTTTTGGTTTTCCTCTAGGGCTACAAGAATCATTGATACAACAAAAGATACTGGATCATAGAAAATCCAAGTACTGTTCATTTCTGATAACTGTATAACTTCCTGAAAGTATATAAATGACACATACTTGAATCAGAAATTATTTTACAGTAGGGGGTATTGATACATACATCAGTTTTATTTTTGTTGAAAAAATTGAAAAGAATATCATAGCATTCATCAAAAATCCACTCAGCCATAATTTTATATGATTTTAATCTATACACACTTTTAAATTGTGATGGTAACTCATTAAATGAAAAACAATTGTTGACAATCTTGACAGGCTCTGTAAATACAATAAAACAATTAATATTAAATTCATTAAATTAAGAAAATTTTGAAGGTTAGATATTAATTATCAAATAACTATTACAATTACTGAAAATGTTATATGACATAATAGTATATTATAATAATAATAAAATAGTTAATATTATGTACAATTTGTTTTTAGCAATAGGTCTACCACATGACTAATAAAAAAATGAATTACTAATTCAAATTTAATACATTATAAAATATTAAAATATCTATAAAAGTTTAGGCCAACAGACCAACTGCCCATCACCCCTCAGATTTAAGTGTTTTATATGCGATGATTAATTATATAATTGTACATAAAAAAAAAAAATGCTAATGTATAAAATATCATTTACAGTAACGTATTAGTGTATTACTTAATTTAAGGGTACACTCAACATTTATACAGCAGATCAGTTTTTAAAAATTCTTTTAAAACTAWAAAACAATTACCCTCATTTATCCAACCTTTAGAATGCATTTTCTGTACTTGGAGTATTAAACATTTTAGTGTCGATGACATATCATGGTTATCTACAGAGGATACAAGCTTGTTTACTGGTAAGTTCAAATCATGTGTCTTAAAAACAAAATTTATATATATTAAACAATTTCTTTCCAGCAATTTATTATTGTTACTTTTGATAATATTGGTCCTGCTAATTGTAGTATTATACATAAACAATGCATTTCTAGTTCATTTTTTTCTTTGCTTAAATCTGTAATGCATGATAATATAATTTTTTCTGGAAAGGCACCCTTTCTAAATAGTTCACCAATAAATCTATCAAAAATAATATTTGATATATAAAAAAATAAAAATAAAAGTATATTTATTCAAAATACACCTGCAATTGCATGTGGATCTCTTATTAAATTCAAATTGAAAATTATTCAAAGTGGTTATAAACGTCTCTGGTACCTGGTAAACAAATAATAATTGTTATAAGAACTATTGGACCCAACCTTCAAAAATAAGACACCTTTTTTGAATTCAGAATTATATTTAATTTCATACAGAAATTAGGAATAAAACAAAACAAATGTAAAGGTATTCTATTATGTCAAGAACCATAGATAATAATTATTAATAATTGCTAGATTTATAATAAGAAGCTAATAATAGTAATAATAAAAAAAATTAATAATAATTAATAATCATAGTAAAATATAATAATAACATAACTATTTACCATATTATTATTGTTTTTCATCTTATCTTTTAATTTGTCTAACTCTTGTTGATACTTTGTTGAAGTATAAAATACATTAGAACATTTTTGTAATAGAACTTTTTGAAATGTTATTTTAGWATCTGAAGCAGCCTTATTAAACTTGGAATTATTAATCATAGCTGCACACATCTGGGCATATATATGTGTAAGATTTTGTCTTTTTAAAGCCTAGGTGGTTATAATGAAAATGAGATTAAAAAAAAAATAATAATGATAATATTATACAGGTTGAATTACGAGTTAGAACTATAATTATTATTAATATATACATACTCGATCAAATATTATATCTGAAATTTCTTCAAATAGTTTAACATTATTTATTGGCAAAGCAATCATTTTCTGTGTCATATTAGCTAARTTGACTATATTTAAGTGATGTACAATCGATTTTACAGTATTTAACACTTCCTAAGATAATACAATTTATAAGAATTGTAGATTAAAATGTAGGTATTAATATAATATAGAGATTAAATAACACTTTATTGGATGAATAATAAATAACAATTATTCAAATTCTGTTTGTTTACACATGTACAAGAAAAATTAATTATATTTGTGGGTTGTGTATATGAATATATTATAATGCTAATAAAAAATCATTATGCTTATGTTCATCCAGGCAGAATGTAGTAGAAAAAAAAGCAATATCTCTGACATTTAATTGTGATGTTCATTATTGTTTCTGTCAGGTTTGAATGTTAGATTGAATATGTAATTACAATAGGTAATGAATATTTATCTTGTTTAACATAATATGATAATTAGGTATAACAAAAAAACATTTATGTTTTATAAATGTGTAACATAGTGTATACTATTGAATACTTACAACTGAGTTGTTTAATTGTTCCATAATGATTTTATCAATTGTATCTGTTATACAAACAATAAACTAAAAATAAATAGCAAAAAAATAAATACATTATTATATTTATAAACTKATTTTTATAATATAAAATATAACTCAAATGTATTAATTCAAAAATGTAATAAAAGATTTTTAATTATTTACTACTTTGTCTATGTAGAGCTGTGGCTMTAATTAAGGAAACTGATTAAAAAATTGATAGCAATAACAGGAATTAAATACAATTATTTTATTTATTTAAATGTATTGCAAAAGTACTTAGTAGTATTCATCAGTACAATAATTTTTATCATAAGATTTAAAATATATTATATAATATAATATAATTTAGTAATTGTATGAAATATTATGTTATACCTGCATTACTGCAAAGTCCATTAATAATTAATATAAATAATAAAATGTTAAAATAGACAACCTAATTTTATATTATTTGTAGGATTACAATTATTTTTACATGAAATAAATATATCTTACCAATTGTGGTTAYATATGTATGGTGTTAGTTGGTTCTGCAAAATTTAATCTTTTAATCTTCAGCTGACATACATAAATCAATGAAAACAATTTTTAGAGATCAATGTTGATAATTAATTGGAAAATTAGTATTTATGTATAAGTAGTAGTTGATTATACTAAAGATACATACTACTTAACAACAATATACTAACGCAGGCCAAGTGCTAAATTATAAGTTGAAACAATTAACAATGGTYAACAGCACACCGGATAGGTACACATCTTAAGTCAACTATCTACTATAGTTACTATAGTTAGAAACTAATACAGAACAGTTCGCTATATTACTTTCTCGAGTAATACACTCGTGTATCGATGTATACAGTATATTTACACTACAAGTACTTTTCAAAAATAATTAATGACTAGCATATCAAAATATAACGAGTGTAAATAGTGTAACGCAAAAATGAAAAAATAAATTATAATACCTAATAWAAGATTAATATTAAAACATGTATAACGCATAACTGTGTAAGATTTATTTTTTAAGTTTTAAAAGGGATTCTCATTAGTCATTTCTCTGTTCTCATTACATCTCCTCATGCCGGGTAGTGTACTAGTGTAAATTTAATTTCTTTGATTGGCTGAACCGTATGGTCGATTAAAGTTTACCATATGGTTAATTGTTATCACACAATACCACAGTAACCAAACGTTACCACATAGTAGAATAATATTTTTTATTCAAATTTTGGGCGTATGGCCCGTATCACAATATAGAGAAGATATCTATATATAGTAAGTTCTCTACATCGTGGCCCGTAATCGGCGTAATCCGTATGTTTACGGTAAGTTGTGTGCATATCCTTATACGTCATTACGTCCGAGGTTGTGTGCATAGACTTTTTACTAAATACTTATAGACTGGCACTCTTCACGTTCCCACCGTGTCAAAATAGGTAGCGCTTTTAGGTGAAGTATATATATATATATTTTTTTTTTTAAATAAGCTGCATCATTGCGCCATGGTGGCCTGTGATGAGGTATCGTTCTATTATACTATTATACCACATCATATAACATAGTTAACTTATGGTAGGTAGCATAAGCCATAAAGATGGATCATAATAATTCATAGTCACAGGTATAAAGTTTAAATTATACTATATACCTGTGATCGGGGACGGCGCGAAGGGGGCAGTTGACCCGGGCCCTGCGATTTTAAAATTATAATCAAGGCTCGAATAGAATTCTATGAATATAATTATGTATGTAGGTATTAATCTAATTGAACTCATAAAAATAATAAGTAACTAGTTTTTTATTTTTACATTTTTATTCATTCAAAAATCCAAATTTTCCGAAGTGTTTACCTAGGCTATAGACCTATAGAGTATAGACCATGGCCATGATCATAAATTATTCTTAATAAATATCGARTAAGTATGATGTAAGTATTGAAGTAAGATGGAAACATTTTTCTTGACATATTATTTGTTATTAATTATTTATATTAGTTAAACAATAGACCTATAATACCTTGTATTAAATCTTAACCACGAAGCMTATATTAATTATAATGGCTAATAGATACACATATTAAATAAATAAAGTTTTATAGTGTTTGTATATTTCTTATTTTGTTACATATTGTGTTCTAATGACTGATTTTTCGATTCGATTCCAAGAAACAGTGGTTATTCATTATTATCTATCTACTTACTAAAGTTGAGACGTTTAAGGCCGCGCGTACATTGGAGAGCGCTGTGCGTCAAGCGTCAAAATTCGAATATGTTTGATTTGTGACGCGGCGCGCCGCTGACGCTCGACGCTTGTAGTCAATAACGCACTTTGATTTAAATTATATGGGTTTAAATTTTTTGCGCGACGCAACGCTCGACGCTCTCCAATGTACGCGCGGCCTAATAAAATTATCATTCAGGTCACCAATAATATTTAAATTAAATACCGAGACTCTGAGAAATTTATTTTTGTTATACTTAAAAATAGTTGAATAAACACGTTTTAAATTTATATTTTAAGGTATAAAGTAATCAAGTTCCCATTTTTACCAAACTAACTTATAAGTTGGAAATTTGGAAAATTTTAGAAACTAGCTTATATTCTAACTTAGTTAGTTTTTGTATTAAAGTAATTTAATTTTTAGTATTTTTACTAGTTGAAAAAAATGAATAACTTACCCAAATTTGCCGTAAACACTGAAAACGTGATAACAAGTCTGTTGACGATAAAATAAAATAACATACTATAATTTATTATAGCCACATATTATTAAGTAAATATTATTATTTATAACTTATAAGTTTTATAAGCAATGTAGGGTTTAGCAGTTAAATTTAGATTTAAGATACATATAGCTACCACGCCTATACCAGCAACCAATTACTTGATGAGAGGTAGAAGTGATTAAATCTTCTAAAATATAAAAATAGCCCATTAAAACTCACATTGTRCTGACTTATTTTGAATATTGGCACAAAATAGTAAATACTAATCATAAAATATATTAATTAATTGTCAAATTCAACATATACGAYTTTAATGCTTTATAGAATGAATCACTAAGTATTTTTACTATTCTCAGCGAATCTACATTTATGCTTTAAGTAGGTATGCATTTATTTAAATTCTGTTTTTTTGGAATTTGCAAGCATACGTCTTGTCACTTAGAAATCCCATATTTTAATTCATTAAGATTTGTATATTATTCAAGGAATAACTAGTTATTTAGTTATTCTTATGACGATATAATATGTTCATTACTTTAGATTATTCAGATTATTAAAACTTTACGTTTTTAAATCTTGACGCTTGCTATTATAATATCAAATATAATATTAGCAATCAACATAATAGGCATTTAGTGTAACACGTATAGCCGTATAGGTGATTTTTTTTTCCTGTTCAAAAACTAGGAGCGGATGGGAACTGTTCAGCACAATACTGCCATCAGTGCCACCCGTCCCTGTATCGTTTATTCACCAAATACGACAATCAATCTATACAAAAATTGGGGGTCTCTAACCACCCCCCCCCCCCAAAAAAACAAAAAAAAGGTATATAGGTGCCTGCTTATCTTCTACAGTAAAATACTAGAACTAAAATGTATACAACATAATATATTGCTTTATATTGGTAGTTAATACGAATTAATGACAGTAGACGATTAAATCATTATTTTTTAAAAACAAATGTTGTTATAGAATAATAACATCGATACRAAATAAAATAACCAAAATAAATAAATATTAGCATTATATACCTATCAGTTTAATTACCCAGGCTTAAGTTTTAATGAGCCATATGTCCGTCGTGACTTGTGTTTATTAGTTACTTATCTTATTATTAATATTTATAATTTTATATTCTTGTGTATAAATTATTTTTGTTTTTTCGGTTTTTGATCTTCCGGGCAGTGACAATGGCTAAAATATATTATGACTTAAAAAGAAATAATGATGTTATTAATTTATTATTTTGCTCACGCTGACCGCGCGTATATAATAATAGTCATAAACTTTATTTTATTATAACCGAAGTAGGTATATAACTATATGCCACAGTGTTGGAAAAACTTTCCTATTGATTAGTATATTCAACAGTTTATTATATCATGAGTTATCTTTATATATATAGTTATCATAAGTATAGATTGTAAATTGTATAAAGCAAACAATTTTCATAAAATAATGAAAACTAAACAAATTTTATTAATTATCACCATGCTAGTCCATGCATGATGTTAATATTTAGTCCATACTCCATAGGTAGGTTACCTATTCCCATTATTCGGGACATCATTATTTATGATTAAATTAATATAATAATAGGTTTATAAATTGTAAAATAAAGTAATATAATTAGCTGATTTAATAAGTCTCAATAAGGCACTAAAAAGGTATTCACCTATATTTACTTAGAGAACATTGGGCAAGAAACAAATAAGCAGACATTGATAATTATTTTAAATTAAATTAATTACAAAATTAATATTTGATGAATTATTAATTTCTATATAATTTTGTAATAAAAATATAAAGTAATACCTCTATTATTATTCATTTTATTCTATAAAAATAGTAAGGTATTTATTAAATAAGCTTAAATMGCTAATAAACTTGTTGTATTAAAATAATTCTATGTACCTAATAGAATCAGACGAAATAATACTTACAATTAAAAGAAAAGCATTATTAATCATAACTAAGCTGTTTTTTAAGTTATGCTAAGTTTTTATTCTGTATAGTAATACAAATATTAAGAGAAAAGTGATCCTTCAATTATTATTTTTTTTTGCATAAAAATATAAGTAGGTAATTATCAAGCTTAAATTTCGAATAAATTTATTATGATAAAATAAATGTGCTGTGAGTATCAAAATCAATCAAAATTATAACTCAAATTAAAAAGAAAAAAACAATCATATTAYTACTTATTAATCACAATAAAACTACTTTTTTTAATTATGCATAGTACAAATGATTATTGATTTACATGGTTCCTTAATAATATGGTTGCATAAATTACTTAGGACAAAGTAAGGAACCAATTATTATTGAAGTAGTAACTATATTATACAATGTGTCCCGTGGGGAAGTGACTGACTGGAATCATATATGATGTACTAGTAGTAGGTAAGTTATGAAAAAAAACTCCTTTATAAGGGGAAGTCTTACATTTAAATTTTTTTTCTTATTCAACTTTTTTTTAAACAAAACCAAACCTAGCTACCGCACATTTTTTGATATAYTTTCAAAACTTTTAAGCTTTGTATCGTTAATCGGTCAGTCACTGCCCCACAGGGCACATCGTATAGCAGGTTTATTTTAAATTTGCAAGTATTAAAAATATTAAAACATCTATCTACTCCATGTATAGGTACTGAATGATGTAATGGCATGTTTTATGTGCAGTACCTACTATTCACAATCGGTTGAGACTAATCTGAATGATGTGAAATAAATAAACAGAGAAAAACAATTTTAATCAAACCTTCATGATCGAGTGATTCCGGTATGCAAGGGATTTTATATAATTTGGCACCTCGCCATTAATAGCAATAAAT